TGTAATCATGCTCAGATGCCGAGGAGCTCAGAAGGTGGGCGACTGTGACCAGTGATAGTCATGTATATAGAGATTAGAAATGCATGTGAAAACGTCTCAATGTCAATTGCTTTGGAATGAATTCTTCTGTATGAAAAAAAAATTAAAAAAAAAAATACAAAGTACTGTAATAACTAAACTGATATAACTGTCAAACTAAACATATGCAATTGTGTTTTAGAAGGTAAATATGTAATTCTATATGTCTACTATAATTTTTTAATATCATTTACTACACTACCAAGCTTCGACAATAATGTGAAGTTTTTCTTCTGTATGAAAAAAAAAAAAGTTGTGCTGTAAAGTAAAAAAAAAAAATACAAAGTACTGTAATAACTAAACTGATATAACTGTCAAACTAAACATATGCAATTGTGTTTTAGAAGGTAAATATGTAATTCTATATGTCTACTATAATTTTTTAATATCATTTACTACACTACCAAGCTTCGACAATAATGTGAAGTTTGTCACTGTTGTTGTAATGAGTTTGTCATCAACTTCCTTTGCATATTCTCCAACCTATACAAACTTTTTCAACATAATCATTTCATCCAGTACAACCCAGCTACTCAATTTTATGTGTATGAGTGCATTGCCTGCTTGCATGTAAATGCACCCATGTTCTGCAGTGCCCGAGGAGGTCAAAAGAAGGCATCTGATCTCCTGGAACTGGAGTTATGGATGGTTATTAGTTTCCATGTGGGTGCTAGGAATCGAACCCAGGTCCTCTGCAAGAATAGTCAGTGCTTTTAACTGCTAAGCCATCTCTCTAGCCCCATAATCATTTTTTTTTTCGGTCTTTTTGAGACAGGGTCTCCCTGTAGCCCCAGCTGTCCTGGAACTCACTCTGTAGACCAGGCTGGCCTTGAACTCACAGAGATCCACCTGCCTCTGCCTCCCAAGTGCTGGGATTAAAGGCAAGAACCACCATGCCTGACCCCCATAATCATTTTTCAAAGGAAACAATGCCAATAAAATATTTTTAAATTAAAAATAATTAGGTTTATGCCAGGTGTGGTGGCACATGCCTGTAGTCTCAGCACCTGGGAGGCAGAGACAGGCAGATCTCTGAGTTCAAGGCCAACCTGGTCTACATAGTGAGTTCCAGGTCAGCTGGGGCTACAGGGAGACCCTGTCTCAAAAAGACTAAAAAAAAAAATAGGTTTATAAACCAACTCAATATTACATAAAAATAAAATATAATTTAAAATTTTACCCCAATACGGTATAGCTTTAATAAGGACAGTAGATCACATACTTTATTTTTCAAGTGTAATTAAGTATAATCCTTTTTCTGTATAACTAATATTGAAATTTATGATAGTAGAGAACTGCTTTCTGTATAGGTCTCTGTTATGATCTGTTGGTTATACAGGAGTTTAGTTATTGATTAGTCATCATACTATATGTTTTTGTACTAAGCATCTTTAGTATTTGTGTTACTTCTCACAGTTATATAACAGTGAAGATAAAATGAAGTCACAATAAAACATCTAAAAATTTTTTTAAGTTGGGTAAGGGCTTGGAGGCAGAGACAGGCAGATCTCTGTGAGTCTGACGCCAGCCTGCTCTACATAATGAGTTCCAGGCCAGTCAGCACTATACAGTGAGACCCTGTCTCAAAAAAACAAACAAAAAAAATGGGCAAGGTATAATGTGCCTGTAACTCTAGCAGTGGCAAGAGGTAGGACTGACAATGGGTGTGCGTGGAGAGGCAAAAGCCTGACAACTTGAGCTGGATCCCTAAAACCTATGGTGAAAGGTTTCCAGAAGAAAGCTATTCCCAAAAGTTGTCCTCTGACCTCCACACATACATACATCATGGAACACAGACACAGACACACATACCAGCATCCTCACACACATCATATACACACACATGAATAATAATAAAGAAAATTTATGCCTTAAAAAATAAAAATAAGGCTGGGCATGGTGGTATATGCCTTTAATCCCAGCACTCTGGAGGCAAAGGCAGGTAGATCTCTGCAAGGCCAGCCTGCTCTACACAGCAAATTCCAGGCCAGCTGGGACTGCAGGGAGACCCTGTCCCAAAAATACAAAAAAAAAAAAAAAAAAAAAAAAAAAAAAAAAAAGAGGACATAGAACCTGAGGTAGGAAGATCGTAAGTTCAAAGCCAGCCTGGGCTCTATAGCCACACATTTAGAATTAACATCTGACTCATATAAGGGTTAGTCAGTTAAATATATCAAGACATAATTATTCTCCCTCCTGCCAATGAACAGATGACTAGAAAGGTTAACTTACTTCAAATCAGGCCTATATGTCCAATGCCAATGCTAATAAAGACTGCTATAAGATTTGTGCTGTCTCTAAGGATAGTACTCTTTTACTGGGCATGGCAGAAGAATACAGCCCACTCTTACCTGGGTGCTACAATCCTTTCCTGCTGCTAAAGCCCAGGTCTGAGGGTTTCGACCCTTCTCATCATGGAGTCTCAGGTCACCTCCTGCAGCCAGTAGTTTACTGAGGATCCACTGGTTGCCTGAAAATGCTGCTGCATGGACAGGAGTGCTCCCATCAAAGCAGCGGCTACAGAAAGGGATACAGTGAATATCTATGACAATGCTCCTTGCTTCCACTGAGAAGGATATCAATGTATTACACAGGTCTTTCAGTCAACAACAAATTTTAGTGATAAGGATTACAACAGTTTGTGAGGCCACTGATCTGTAGCAGCAAGAGCTTTACACAAATCCCTTTTCCCCCATCCTTACCTCTCTCTTTTTTTTTTTTTTTTTTTTTTTTTGGTCTTTTTGAGACAGGGTCTCCCTGTAGCTCCAGCTGGCCTGGAACTCACTATATAGACCAGGCTGGCCTTAAACTCACATAGATCTGCCTGGCTCTGCCTCCCAAGTGCTAGGACTAAAGGGGTGTGCCACTACACCAGCTTATCCCATCCTTATCTTAACCCTTCAAGATAGTATTTCTAACATGAAGAATCAAAAGGGTAAAGCTAAGTTAGGTAGGTAGGTAGGTAGGTATCTGATTCTAAATTTGTGTTCTTTCCCTACAACCCCATGACAATGCCTTCCCTAAAACATTTCTTCATGTCTGCTGTGTCTTGGGGTCAGGCTGGTCAAACACAGAGAACATTTCTCTCATGTCACAATCGTTCTGCTACCCACTCCAAATCTTGTAGTAGAGTTCAACAAAATCTTGGCATCACCAATCCAGTCAAGAATCTGTACCTCAAAAACCTCACCAATGCCAGTAAAATACACTGATGCATGAAAGGATGGCTTTTATTATGTCCACAACAAGATGAGGGTATAATGTATACAGCCATGAATTCATAACCAGGTGCACATCCCAATCACCTGGGGAGTTTTCTTTCTTTCTTTGAAAAAAACAAAAGTGAGAGGAAAAAGTAAATGAAGGAGGAAAGAAGAGGGGAAAAAAGGAGAGCATAAAAAAGCTTAACAAAAAACTCACCTTCAGACAACCAGTTTTCTTAGAGGCAATTACAAGTTTTTGTATTCTTCTAGAAGTTTTTATGTATATACCAATCTGAATAAGAATGCTAGTGTTTATGTTATATAAACTGTTCACTTATCCTGGAGAAATTTCTATATGAGAAAATACAAGCCATTGCACATTTCTTTTCAACATCTACATAGTATTCCATCATATGGAATAATCATAATTTAGTTAATGAGACATTGCAATACCTATTAAAAAAAAAGTGAGCCTCAGAGCCAGATGTGGTAGCTCACTCCTTTAGTCCCAGCCTTCAGGGGGCAGAAGTCAATGAATCTTGGTGAGTTTGAGGCCAGTTTGGTCTACATAGTGAGTTCCAGACCAGCCAGAGCACACAATGAGACCATGTCTCAAAAAGTAAAATAAAATTAAGTCTCAGGACCAGGGCCCCCGTGACACATGTCCATAATTTCAGTACTTGGAAGGTAGAGGCAGGACAATCATAAGTTAAAAGTCAGCCTGGTCTACAAAGTGAGACTCCCATCTCAAAAAAACACAACCAACCAGCCAACCAAAAATTTAAATGAAATAAGATTCTAAAAGAGGCTTAGATAAACCTGTTCTGACTGAATCAGAATCTGTAAACATGAGGCCCATGAAAACGTATATTTTTCCTAAGTTCCCCAAGCGATTCTAATGAGGCTGCCAGAACCCAGGCATCTGGGTGGGATCAGTGGTTCTGTGTAACGTTTAATTATTCGTAATCAAATCTATTCCTGCTCTAACTATTCTTCCTGCAAATAGTAAGAAAACTGAGTATGAGGGCAGAAGATACTGTTTTTCAGTTCTCATGCACACTAAGTAAGGAATAATGGTTTATACACACCAAAATAAGTTTTGGTGGAATAGGGTTCAAGTAGGATCAAAATGCATACTATTTTTTACACAACCAATGTTTTTTGTTTGTTTGTTTGTTCGTTTTGCTTTTTTGAGACAGGGTCTCTACTTCTATTCTTGCTTCATTCTAATTTTTTGGGGGGG